GTTACTTATCAGACGTTATTACAACAGTAAAGTAAAAAGTACTATAATATAGTTCTAGTAGGGTGGGTAGGCACCGTGGGGGAGGGGGGGGGTTGGTTTTGAGGGGTGAGTGAGGTAGGTTCAAAATGAGTTTTGGAAAATCTTTTCCCTTCTCTTGATAGGAAAATATTTTCTACCAATTGGAAAAAAATGAGGTCATGAGAAAAATATTTTCCAAAACATTTAAGCCAACCAAACATGGGAATATTGAAAAACTTCATACCAAACACATCCTAGTTCTCCTTCACTATCTCTTATTTGGTGAGAGATGATTGTGTTTTCTTCCAAATATTATCTCCTCCTATCTTGGCTAAAGGTGCTAACTAAAATGGATTATCTACTCCGTCACAAAATAATAAATCTCTGGTCTTGCTTCACTCTAATTATTTGCGGTGTAGTTGGAATTATGAGTACTGAATTGTAACTCGTTTGGTACAATGGTAGGATATCCAAGGGTATGCCATGAGATAGCTATCCCACCTTCTATAGAAGATAGCTTAATTCTATCAATTTAGTGTAAAATTTATTCCAGCATTAGCTAATACCTATAACCAAATATGAAATGATGCAATTCCAAATTTTTTTACGGAAATGTTGTCCTTATCCGTTGTACCAAACCAAACGAACTCTAAAGGTACAACTGCAGCATTTCCAATTTCAAAATCCTATAAGCAGGATAAATGGTTTCTTTGAGCTACAGTTGGAACTTGAAAGTAGTGTTGTTTGGGTTTTCTAATGGCCAATAAACAGGGGCGGCTCAATAAACATGGAGGCCTAAAGCGAAATTTCAAAGAGAGGCCTTATTTTTTATATATATAAAAGAAAAAAATTCGTATATAATTTCATATAAATTCTATATTTCTAGTTTTTTTTTTATGCAGAGTTATTAATAATTTTATCTAATCCATTTAATTTCTCTTGAGATATACTTCATAATTTAAGATTTTTATTGTTTGCTAAAAATTTATCAAGGGCACGTTATGGGATTGTATTAAAGTGTCAACCTTTTTTTGAGTTCTGAATTAATAATCGAATTCTTTCTCACTTTATGGTCTAACAATTGATTCCCAAAAACACACTTTTTTTTCTCAATTTATGATCAACAATTTAATCTTACTTTTTTTTCTCAAAAAGACTATGAAAATATAAACTTTCTCATTTAAAACAATAAATATTTCTCTAAAAATAAATTAATATATAACCTATTAGGAAAATTTGGGCCCCCATTAATTATGAGGCCCAAAGCAACTGCTTTAGCAGCTTCACCCTTGGGCCGGCACTGCCAATAAATAGGATAGGACAATGAATGCGAAATTTTCATAGTTACATATGGATTTGCAAAATATTCCATAATCTACGACTAATATTAGAATTACAAATTCTACAACAAATGTATAAGAAATATACTCTAAAAATATGGTAAATTCCCTATTAAAGGGGAATGACAACGTAAGTCTCTAAAAATTATCCAATTTATTAATTATTGATTACCATTATAAACACATTAGTTTACCACTATAACACTATCTCATAACCAACACTATATCTTCCTAGGATGCACTAGTTCCTATGAAATTCTTCGATTCTTCCATTCTTTCAATTTCAATCTTCATCTTGGTATATGTTTATCTCGAAAATACGAGTAACAATTAAATTTGATTAGTGGTTTTAAAGATATGTGATTTAATTTAATACCAATTAATAATCAAGAAATATGAGGTAGAGATGAAAGATAGAAGTGAATCAAACCAATTTTATTCAGCAGTAGTGACCTCGAGCTTAGTGACCTCAAGGTGGGCTTAGAACAATAAGAACAATTAAGCAAGAAAAGTAAAGTAAGAACAGTTGAGCTAAAGGACTATGCTGATGAACAGTAGGCGAAAAGGTAGAGAGTATATTCTTTTCTTAATGATTAGATGATGTTACAAATGATTGGGGTCCCCTTTATATAATAGGGGAATCCCTAAATAAGGTATATTTCTATTTACAGTAAGGAATATTCTTGATACAGCTTTCTAACCGCCTAGTACGGAATCGTACAATCCTATTCCGGGATTTGCGCCATGATTTTTGGGACGTGGCAGGAATCTAGCTCATTCTGTTACAAATTCATAACGGTACTATTTCGGGGTCGAGCATACTTGGCCCCGGTATTCCTCGTACTTCTATCTCCGGGCATTGCACTCTGTCTTTGAGCTCGATTCTGGTCCACTGGTCTCGAACTCGACCTCACCCGAACTCGGGCCTATGACGGACCCTCGAGCCTATAAATCGGAGGCATATGATTTTGACCGTATACAGATAGTCCCCGCGTTTCTTAGAATAAGATGATAAGAAACGATTTGAACCTCGATTTTCCCGAGCCTCTTATGATGACGTCATGCCCGTGACGTAGGCGCTTTAAAGTGATTGGAAATGTCACGTCAGCACTGTCACACCTCCTTTTTACCTACACCTGCTAGGGCATAAAGGAGTTTTCCCACTTAAAGGACAATCAGAACGGGATTTATTATTAAGATTTCAGAGTCGCCGCTTGGGATATTAATGGTGTCCCAAGTCACCGGTTGAATCTCGATCCGAGGAAATTATGACTCTGTTAACAGTCTGCGAACCAGAAATCCGAGTAAGGAATTCTGTTAACCCGGGAGAAGGTGTTAGGCATTCCCGGGTTCCGTGGTTCTAGCACGGTCGCTCAACTATTGTATCTGATTTTATCTGATTTCAAAACATGTTCTAACTCGTGCTTTTATTAGTAAACCGTTGTTATTTTTTTTTTAATAAGAATTACAACATCGTGAAAATGCGTTTCGAACCACGTCGCACCAGTGCACCCGTGATTGTTAACACATTTCGACTTCGTTGAGATTTGGATTTGGGTCACATAAATGTGCACCCGAATTTAGGGAAGTAATATTATTAAAGTACGCGCCTAAAGCAACTACGCGTTTTGGCTTTGCGAGGGACATGAAATTTTGCTAAATGGCACGCCTCGGATGCTAATGGTTTTTTTTTTTTTTAAAAGAAATATTTGAATGGGGGCCAAGCATTTGAGATTTTATCTGGCTTGGCGCGCCTCAATTTATTCTACTTAAGAGGTCTCTAAACTAATTAACGTTTCCCTAAATGGTTTACAAGAGAATTGTTAATTATTTAAAACAAGATGGGCTTAGTCGAGCCCCTAAATAAACTGAGGGTCCAGTCAACAATAGGCTGCCCAGTCTGGGCCCGATAGGAGCCCAACAACTTTGAATGACCTACCAATTAATTATTAGCAAGCCAATTACCAAGACAATTCATGAGCCCACGGGAACTCAGCCCCACACCAAGAGCAGCAGTGATATTGCTCTTTTCATAAACAAAATCAAGGTCCAAAGTTAAAGCCCAAATCACATTTCCGTAGGGCTGTCTGACCTGGGCCTGGTCATGAGCCCAGATTCACAAACTCATGAGAACAAAGAAAAGAAATAATAAAACTGAGAAGAGAAACTTACTGATTTTGGACAAGAACTACCCTTCGAAATTGGTTTCCGGTTAATATTATATGTCTACTCTGTCAAGAATAGGCTTATAATATTATCTGGAACTCAATCGCCTTTGAAAATTCCCAAAAGCCCAGGAACCCTAGATTTGAAATTCGGCGAGTTCCGGCGGGATTTGAAGGGTTTCGATTAGGGATTAAGGATGAGGGAGGTCAGGGGAGTGTAGGGTATGAATTTGGGCGGATTTGGAAGAGATAGGGTTTTGGCCGAGTTTTTTGATTCAATATTTGAGCAGTTCCGGCCATGTTCGAGACAAGTGGCTATGGGGGTTGGGTAGAGGAGGCTTGGGCGGTTCTGTGGTGTGAGTTTGGGACCATTTGGCGTAACCGGCGACTTGGCCGGAAAACTTTAACGGGATATTCGACGAGTTCGACGTTGATTCGAGGGAAACCAAGGGCAGGGTTGGAGAGAGGGGAACGAGGAGAACCGGTGGTGTAATTTTGGGGTTGATCGGAGCATCGCCGCCGGCGGCGGACGGCGGAGGGACGGTGGTAGACGGCGGGGTTACGGTGAGCGAAGGTGGTGTTACATGGTTAGGGTTTGCGAGACGGTGAGGGTAGGAGGGGGTTCTGAGGGGGTAGGGGTATGGTTTCGGACATATATATATAAAACATCCTAGGACGACCTTGTCCGTTGGGTCAGCAATCAACAGTTCCGATCGGCTAAAAAAGAACGACGTCGTTTTGTGGGGTAGGGGAGACGGACCGGGTCACCAGGGTTGGGCTTGGGTCTTTCAGGGTTATTTCATTTGGGGCTCAGCCAATTTGGCCCAAAGACCAATCCAATTAAGATCATTTTTTAATTTTTCTTTTTCCCTTTTATTTCTTTTATCTATTTTTG